TCTCTGCCAGACTGGGGATCCAGGCCTCTTGCTTGAACACACCTGTTGCCTGATAGCACACTCCTTTTGAAGGCTGCCAGGGGGTCAACTCTAATTAGTAGAAACGTTCCTTCTATCGAGGCAGAATCTGCTCTGCCTTGACTTTTGTTAGCTTTGTATCTGTCCCTTTGAGCTACACTCAATCGGTTTAGTCCTTTTTCCAGATAACAGCCCTATCAATATAGCTATCATTTGTTACTTCTTATCATATCTTATTCTTATTTCTTATAATTTCTTCCAGATAGCTATCATTTCTTATTTCCTTTTTCCAAATCTAGAACTTGCTTCAGAAAAGCTGCAGGAAACTGTGTCAGAGTCATAATAAGTTATTAAAAGCCAAGTATGTTGGCCCTAATCTCGGAGGGTTAAATTAGAATGTCCCTTTCCTCAGGGCCAGAGGCTACTCCTGGGGTCAGAAGAATATGGTAAGGCCTCTGAGCCCTAGAACACTACAATCCTTCACGTTCTAGGCTAGGACTTTGGGCTGCCACGCGGCGGGGCTGACTGCAAGCTCTAGAACCCTCTGCCGGCAGCTTTCCACCAGGTGGCGGGTTATTACCTGGCTGAACGCGGGCCCGCGCACCTTCCTCATCTCTCCACCAGGTGGCAGGGCAGGCTGTGTCTCAGCTCCTGCACCGGCCTCGGAGTGCCTTCTCCCCCTGGGCTAGGCTGGAAGGAGAGCTTTAGGGGCTTTGGAAAGGTCGGCTGCCCTCCCCAGTGAGGACCAGAAGATGCCTCTGCTGCCCTGTGGAGGTGATGGAGCTGGGTTTTGCTGGGCTTGCTGAGTCCTGGGCAGCCTGTCCAATAATATGCCCTTGCTTGTTGGAGTGGTGTCCAGAACACAGCCTGTTGGGAGGCGGCCCTCAGTGAAAGGCCCCTGAATGGAGAGCTCCGGGTGTGGACGCCGGCGCTGGCGCTCGGGAGCTACTCCTCTGCCCTTCCCAGCCCTCCTTCCTCCTTCCAAACCCCTGCAGGCGTGGGGGAAGGTGCGGCTGTTCCTCTAGCCCATCTCCTTTGGCCGGGATCGACAGGTTCCTCCCCTCACACAACGAAGATGAAGTCCAGGCTTGCAGAGTGAGACAAAATTCCCCAGGCCTCTTCTCTATAGAGGAATGTTCCAGTCTGCATGGAGGATGTTCCAGTCCTGCACTGCTCCTAAACCAGGCCCCAGGAGGCTCCGGGCCTGGCCTTGTGCGCGCTACCCTCCCTCACGCAGGCCCTCTCAGCTCCGGGCCCACCACGGAGGCCTGTTCTTTCTGCGGCCGGCCTCAGCAGCTGTCTCTGGCTCCTCATTTCCGCATCTTTCTTTCTCACCCCTTCTCGGCTCGTCGGGCAGGCATGGGGATTCTGGGCCCAGCTTCGGTATTTCACTGGGATGGGACTATCGGAGAGTGGGAAGGCCTGACGTTAGGCTGCCATGCCTGCTAGGAAAGCAGAAGCTGTTTCCCTCAGAGGCCTGGGGGGTCAGTGCGGCCTCCTCCCCTCGGAGCGAAGCACTGGAAGGGGCTTGAGTGAGCACGCGGTCCTGTTTTCCTTTCATTTATTTATATTTATTTTTAAAAAATTTTTTGAGACAGGGTCTTGCTCTGTCGCTCAGGCTGGAGTGCAGAGGCATGATCTCCTCAGCTCACTGCAGCCTCCAACTCCTGGGTTCAGGCCATTCGCCTGCCTCAGCCTCCCGAGTAGCTGGGACTACAGGCACGCGCCACCATGCCTGGCTAATTTTTGTATGTTTCGTAGAGACCGGGTTTCACCATGTCAGTCAGGCTGGTCTTGAACTCCCACCCTCCTCAGCCTTCCAAAGTTCTGGGATTACAGGCATAAGCCACTGTGCCCGGCCCTTTTCTCCTTTTGTAGTTAAGAAAATCAAGACCCAAGGTTAAAAGAGTCTTCAGGGCTCTGACTAGAGCCCCAGGCGTTCTAATTCTCTGATGAGGCCTTGCATCTGAGGGCCTTCAGTTACCAGCCTCTCCTTAGAAGTGTCTCTGCTTTTCTTCCCACCTGGCCACCAACTGCCCTCTCCTGGTCCCACTTTGTGCATGGCAGCAGTGTCTTCATCAGCTTTTGATGCCTGGCCTGGTCCGAGGGTACGTTTGGCCACCTGTGGCCTTTGTTGGGCTGCAGGATTTGGAAAGAGAGGGGAAGGACACTTGTCTTTCAGTAGGGAGACTGTTGGGGGAGGGGGTATGTGTGTCCTGAGAATGTCTCAGTGGGTTTTCTATTCCTCTGCTCAAGAGTACTTCTTGGGCATCTACCTTGTACGCAGGGCTGAGTGGGATACAGGTAATAGTCCCTGGAGTGAAGGTGCTTGTAATCTAGGCATGAGGTTGACTCTAAACAGCTTTCTTGAATCCCATGATCCCTGGCCCCAGCACCGGCCATTGCCTCCTCTTCCTTTCCAGGCACTCCCATTGACCCTACCGCCTTGGGCCGTGCAGTGTGGAGACCCCTCACATGTGATTCCCACATGACTGGCACCTCAGGTCTCCTGTAATCTCCTGGGTGTTATCTCTCGGAGCAAGGAGCGAGCAAGTTCTATTGATGTGGAGCCACTGGGGAAGGCTGGGGACCTGCACAACCCCTGTTCCTCCCAAGCCTTCTTTTGAGCAGTTTCTATATTCTCCTTCCCATCCAGTAGGGATGGGAGAAGCCTCACCAGCCTTCTGCATGAGCAGGTATGGTCTGAGCTTACTTTTCTGTGCACTTAGGGAAGCTTCTAAACCACAAGCTTAGATTCTTTTACTTTTCTGTTTACAGCCTATCAGCACTCAGCACGCTGTTTCCCAGGCCCTCTAGGTCCTCCTGCTTCTGCTCCCCGCTCTCGGCACCTCCTCAGCATTCCTGACCATGCCAAACTTCCCTATTCTCCTTTTTTAAGCCGCATACTCTCTCATTTCTAGACTCTTGCATATACTAACCTCTTTTTATGAAATCATTTTTTCTTCCCTCTTTCCTTCTCCAGTCTTTGCTGGCTAATTCACACCACTCCTAAGAGCTCATTTAGAATGTCCCTCCTCAGGGAAAGCTTCCCAGCTGCCTAAGCCTAGGGTGGGTCCTCTGATCTTACCTCTGATGATGCTTGTCAGGCTGAATTGTAGTCATTTGTTTCTTAATATCCCTTCCTTACCAAAGTCATGTCTCTGTAAGGGAAGGGGCCAGTGGTTTTGTGTGTTTGTTTCTTGGAGGGATCCTCATGTTCCAATGCAGTACCTGTCACATAAGTGCTCAGGTTAGACTTGTGGAATGTGGTGTGAGTGCATGGGTGGATGGGAGGGCCAGTGGGCCTTCCTAGAAGAACTTCCTGCCATCCCACATCTGGATTCTCTGGGTGTTTAAGTGCATCACTCCTGTGTTTCTGTGGCAATGGAGCGAAGTGCATAGAGGTTCTGTGGACAGAGACCATTCATTCATTCAGTAAATATTACTGAGTCCCTGCTATGTGCCAGGCACCATACAGACACTGGGGATACCATAGTAAATAAGCCTGACGTGGTTCCTAAACTCATGGGACCTATAACCTAGTGGAGGAAACAAATAATAAGTAAGCAAATATAAAAAGAACATAATTATAAATTGTGAAAAGTCCTGGGAAGAAAATGAATAGGCTGATATAGGGCAATATGAGAGACTGGTAAGGGGGATCTTGCCCACAGTCCCCTCTCCCCCTGGCCAGCACACCTCTCCCTCTGCAAAGGCCATGAGCCTCACATCCATACCCCTGCTGGCTTTACCTCAGGGTCACATCCTGACCTTGGCAAGAGTTGTACTAATGAACACTCCTGACAGCTTTTCCTTTTAGCACTGTCTGCATCTGGGGTGAAGGACTCTACCAGACTGGGAAGGAGGTATATCTTGGCAGAAAGTATAGCTCTGTGCTTTGCTGCTGGTAGGAAGACCTTCAGGAGGGCCAGGATTCATCAGCAGAAGTACCAGAGTCTCTCTGTCCAGGGGCCTGAATGGGTGAATGTTCAGGCCCTGTTATGCATTGGGGCATTAGCAGCACTGCTGTGAGGTGGCATGAAAGCCATGGCCTCCTGCCGGCAGCTGGGGCTGCTGCTGCCGTCCCTCCCTGTTCATGAGGACTGCGTCACTCTGCTCTTTGGCATGGTCTGGGGTTGGGGAATGCCGTGCCTCCAGCTCTGTTGGCAATTATGCTGGTATGGGTTGCTTTCTCCGAGCAGCTGTTTGCCCTTTTGGAAAACCTGTGGCTTTGGTTTGGGAGGAGTTGAGGGAGTCGGGGTGTCCCTCTGGGGTATTGTCCCCTGACCCACCCTGGTATACATAGTGAGCTGTCAGACTCCACCCATCTCTCCCACCTAGTTCTCCTCTGGACCATTCACGCAGGCTCTTAAAAGTCTTAGAGCATGTGACAGCTGTGCCTAGGGTGGGAGGAGGTTGCTGTTGTGGAGCCAGGTGGGGAGCTGGAGAGCTAGCTCGACCATGAGGGGTTGACAAGGTGGTGACAGGGTTCCTGCCCTGAGGCAGTGCTGATATGCCTGCTGCCACGAAGAATCCTAGTGCCCTTGCATCAAGACACCTTTGTCATGGGAAAGTTGGGAAGGACCCTCCCTCTCCCTGGACTTGATAGGACCCAGCCACTTCAGTAACTTCAGGGGTTGGGTAGAGCAGGCAGCCAAGAAGTAGAGGCACTGTCAGCTTTGGGAACCTCGCTGACGGAGGAGTCTAACTCCAGCATCCTTTGTTCTTTGAGCCTGTCTGCAAATGCCTGTGTCCAGAGACCTGGGACACACTCCCCAAGCATGCATGTGACAGTGTTTGTGTCTAGTAGAAAGGGCATGTTTATGGCAATGTTTGGAACCATGTGATTGTGGGTGCATGTGCTCATGATTATGTGTCTTAGCTTCAGGGGATTTTGTGTCTTTTGAGGTTTTGGGTACCTCTGAGAATAAGACTGGACTGGGATGTGTGTTTATGATAGGCTCTGATTCTAGAGTGGGCACTTGTGTGTGTCTGTGTGTGTGTATTTGTATTTCTGTGTATGACTAACCATACATTCTCTCTGGAGCTAGTTCTTTAGGCCAGAAAGGAGATACATAAAGTTCCAAGAGAGGAGGGTAGACATTGGAGGGCCGGGCTGGGAATTGGAATTATGACCATTTTCTAGCACCTTTCTTCAGTCTGCTTTTCTTCCCATCCCTTCTTTGTTCTCTTACCCCAGCTTTGGCTCTAAAGGAAGAGAAGACCCTAAAAAGGCTTTGTGATCAATGTTCCTGCCAAATCTGGGGGCCAGGCATGGCTGGGCTTGTCCAAGAGTCAGGGAAGTGAGGAACTGGGCAGCGCAGAGAGATGTTACGGTTCCTGGAACAGAGGCCCCCGCCTTTTTTCTCCCTTGTTCTTTTTTCCTGGCTTGGAAATAATAGGTCTTCAATCTGAGATTAGGAGAAAAGGAAACAACCAGAAGGGAACCAGTTTGAACAAAGACAAATTGCTGGATGTGAACAACCCCCACTGTTGTGATCGAGTATTCTTACCTAGATGAGATTCTGTGTGCTGGGGTGGGGCTTGGGGTTAGGCAGGGAGCAATGAGGACATTCAAGGCCACCAGGCCCACAGAGAGGCAGGACAGCAAAAGTAAGCAGGAGGGCGGGCTCTAGAGTCAGGCAGACTGGAGTCTAAGCCTGTCTCTTTCTTTACTGGCCAGACCTCTCCAAGTCTCAGCTTCCCCTTCTATAACCTACAGGGTGCCTGTGAAGACCAAATAAGAAAATGTATATAAGCTGTTTGGCACAGCAGCTAGCACATGGTAAGCATAAACGGTACTGTATGTATAGGGCTCAGTTCTTTCCTTATATGAGGATCAGGGTAGTGAAGATGAGGGAGGAACCTCAGGGAAATATGTCTTAGCTGTCTGCAGAAGAAACACTCTTTATCAAGAGACTCCAGTGCAGATGCCAACCTGGTTGAGATGGAGGCAGTTTTCCCCCAGGGGCTGGCAACTATACTTTATTTGTACCTGTAAATACATGTGTATGTGAGTGTGTGTCAGGATAGATAAGGAGGGAAGATACTCATCCTTTTAAAGGAAGAATATGGCCCAAGGATACCTCCAGACTACCCTAGACAGTGGTTATAAATATATCATGTCAGGTTATTCAGTGAATTTAGGGATGCTGGGGACATCTACTTGAGAGCTACTTTATGGAGGTCAAAGTGTTGTGCTTGTCTGGAAACCATTTGTCTGTCTCTTCATTTATTCACTATTCATTCATTTATTTAATTCACCAGTATATGTGCCATGTCAATCATGGGAGGCTTAGGCCTATAGAGATCTCTTGAGATTGAACCTGAAGAAGAGAAATCTGACCTGGAGAAGGTCAATCTTGAAAAATGACCTTCAGGTCTAGAGAGGGCTTTTATATGACTCCATCTTGCCTGTGAACCAGAAAAGTTACATGTTTAACTGCAACATGGTTAGGCATAGTCCGAGGCCCAATTTTTTGGGATCTGGCCTGCCTGGGGCAAGAGACGGAGTAGGTCACCACTCTTGAGGACCCCTCCAGGCCTGGGCATCTAGAATATTTCACCAGCTTGGTTGCTGACTTACTGCAGGACCTTGGGCAGATGACTAAGCACTAATGAGCCTCAGTTTTCCTCTCTGTTAAATGGTGGTGAGAATGTTTTCTTTCAGTTCCTCCCTGCCTTCTGGGGCTTGGGAAGGATGAAGAAACCCCCTGTGTAACTTCATGGGGCTTCCTGTGAAGATGGTCTAAGCGAACACCCTGGCTGCCCCTGCACTCGTACCCTGCGCTTCATTCATTGCCCAGGATTCCCAAAGCAAAGGGTTTCTCTTTATTTACCCCCATCCTCGTATGCCCTGTCAGAGTTGATTCTCCTAGAGATGCCAAACCACTTCCCTCTTCCACTTCTGGCTTTTACTATTACCCCTGCCTAGAATGCTCTCCCCAGCCTTCTCCAAGAGAATCTTGGAGAAGAGAATCTTGTTCTGTCCCCACGGTTTCAAGCCATGCTGGCTCTGATCACCCTTCTCCCACTGGTGCTTTGGCTTTCTCTCTTAATCCTCCAAAGCTTGTCTCCAGCACAGCCTTCCTCTTTCTGTGCTCTCTTTAGCTCTCCCCCATTCTGGCTTTTTGTGTCTGCCATGTGATCTGCTACAGGGGATTAGCAGCATTGGTAGAAGGAAGACTGTCAGGGGCTGAACTTGATGACCAGGGGGAACTGGAGGGAAGGATGAGAGGGGAAAATATGCTGGGGCGGTCAAGGGCTAGTTCATGGGGCCAGGGAAACAAATAAATTGGAAGAGACAATCAGGTTACCACTGTGGGTGCCTCCTGCCACACCCAGCCATCTAAATCCCAATGACCATCTCTCTGTGAAACCAAGAGCCTCAGTGGAGTGGGTGTACTTTGGGAGGCCGGGGGGCATATGCATGGGGCTGCCTTGGCCCCCACATTATACAGGGATTGAGGCTGGATGAGTTTGCATGTCCCCAGGCTAATGCCAACTCAGGACAGCGGCTATTGCAGAGGCTTCCTGAAACTGGACTGAGCTGCCAAGGAGAGAGCTCTTCCTTTAGGAGGCTGGGGATGGCCTGATAGCAGCCGCTCTTTGCTTTGCCAGCCCCTCTTTCACCTCCAGCTCTCAGTGGGGAACAGGGGCCAACCACAATCTAGAGACTGAGCTGGTGACACATAACAGGAATGGCCCTGTTCTCTGGTCAGCCTCCCATGAGAAGCTCCCCAGGGGGAGGGAGGGACCTGCAGCATCTGACCAGATGTGGAGGTCACAGAAGGAGTCCAGCCCCATGCTGATCGGCCCCTTCTGGGTTGCTGTTCCTGGGCTGGTGGGAGAGGGAGGGCCTGGCCTTGAGGAAAGTTTTATTCCTCTGGCTGCAGCAGCCAAAGACCATGGGTCCCACATGTTTCTAAACAGGCTTGATTGTCCTCTGGAATGATGTGTCACATGCAGGGCTGGAGCCTGAGTCCTGGCAGTGGGGGAGGAAGGGGGCAGGAATGGGGATGAGGGACACTGAAATTCCCAGAGAGACAGGGCAGTAGGGCCTCAACTCAGGGAGTGGAAGCCCTGCCCAAACCTCGATCATGGCAGATGCACTAATGTATGGTGGCAGGGCAGATGAGGGCACCAGCTGGGGCTCCCCCTTCTCCCTAGACCACAAACCCAATCAACGCTCCCCAAACCCTACTACCAAGGCAAGAACCGTAAACAGCCTGACTCAGAGCTGGGCAGCAGCGTACAAGCGTATTGGTTCTGTCATTAGCTATAATAGCAGCATCTCACCTGGCTGCCTATGCCTTTCATCCGAGCCTCTCAAAGAACTTGACAGACAGCAAAGGGTTCTATTATCTTCATATTACTACTGGAGAAAGCAAGGCCCTGACGAGCCTGACAACTTCTTCAGAGTTCATGGAGGAGCTGGGAATGGGCAGGTCTCCAGGTCTTGGGCTTGTTGGCCTCTCCTCTGGCATCCCTGACTGTGCTGACATGTGCTAGGAGGCAGTGGGGTTAACTTGTCCCCTGAAACTGATGTTGGGAGGTTCTGTCCAACATAGGAAGTAGGTTCTGAGTTCTTAGGCATCTACTTGTTTATTCTTTCTTCCATAAATTGTCAATATTAAGCAATTAACAGCAGCAATAACTGCTACAACTTACATGGCATTTACTGTGAGCCAGAGGATGCAGGTGCTATGTTACTTCCATTTACAGATGAGGAAACTGAATCACAGACAAGTTAAGTAACTTTCAGGTCATATATCCAGTAAGTGACAGAGTTAGGATTGAGGCCCAAAAGTCTGATGCCATAATTTTTTTTTCTTGAGACAGAGTCTTGCTGTTGCCCAAGCTGGAGTACAGTGGTGCAATCTTGGCTCACTGCAGCCTCCGCGTCTCGAGTTTCAATGATTCTCCTGCTTCAGCCTCCTGAGTAACTGGGACTAGAGGCATATGCCACCGTGCCCAGATAATTTTTGTATTTTTAGTAGAGACAGGGTATTACCATGTTGGCTGGGCTGGTCTCGAACTCCCAACCTCAGATGATCTGCCCACCTCGGCCTCCCAAAGTGCTGGGATTACAGGTCTGAGCCACTGTACCCGGCCCAAAGCCATAATTTTCGCCATAATATTATATTACCATTCTGGACCATACCTACAACAGACCTCGTGTCAAAGCAGAGCTCCAACCTCAGCTCTGAAGAGAGGAAGGCCCCAGTCCTCTCTTCCTTCCTCATTTGGGGGCAATTGATATTTGGAACAAGTTTCCAGGAACCTTGCCCTGGATCTTGGTTATAGGGATGTTGTGGAGTAGATTCCTGATTTGACAGTTTCTGATGTATTAGAGCCCGGGACCCAGGGATAGGGGTGCAGCATTACCAACCCCTACTCACCTTTTCCTCAATGCCAGTTGTTTAAGAACTGGGGGAAGAAGAGTCTCCCAGCCTACCTGGCAGTGGCTAGCACAGTGAGTATGCTCTTTGACAGGAGGCTGCCACACTCATCTTCCAAGACAGGGAAGTCTGCTGGGTGTGGTGGCTCATGCCTGTAATCCCAGCACTTTGGGAGTCCGAGATGGGCAGATTGTCTGAGGTCAGGAGTTTGAGACAAGTGTGGCCAATGTGGGGAAACTCTGTCTCTACTAAAAATACAACAACAAAAAATTAGCTGGGCATGGTGGCACGCCCCTGTAGTCCCAGCTACTCAGGAGGCTGAGGCAGGAGAATCACTTAAACCCAGAAGGCGGAGGTTGCAGTGAGTGCAGTGCAAGCCACTGCACTCCAGCCTGAGTGACAGAGAAAGACTCTGTCTAAAAAAAAAAAAAAAAAAAAAAAAGCTAGGGAAGTCTTATTCTCTGTCCCAGGCCAACACCCTCTCTTGTACAATGCTCACCTTCTCCATGGTGGGCATATTAAAGCACAGCCACAGATGGCTACTTGTCCTGGCTTCTCAGAGAGGCCCACAGGCCCTGCAGCATTTCTGGGGATGGGGTTGATCGTCTGGTAAAAGCCACACTGGGAATCTGATTGTGCCAAAACTTGCGGTGGGACCTGGGGC